TCAGATGTAGGGATTGTCACATCCATTTCAAACCTGCTGCACGTTATTTCAACAAAGTGCTTGCGAGGGAGTTGCTTATGGTTCTGCTAGCTGGGGCTTCCTTTTATTAAAGTGCTGAGAAAAAGAGAGTTATTATCTTTGAGAGACGCTGCTCTCATTTTAATTGTAACTTGGTAAGCTATTTGGCTAGCATGGACTCTGAGTCTTTTCTCAATGAATATTTCCAACACAGGCCAGGCCCCTGAGGACACAAGAATTTCCTGAAAAAAAAAAATTAACCATTACTTACTAGAAAAAGGAAAACTCTGTAGGTAAGAACCCATGGGGTAATGTTTTCAAAGCTGAATCTTATCTTTTCTACCCATTCGTTGTTCCCAGGGGTGAGAGTGGGAACTAGGGGGGGGAAGGAAAGAAAACCATTAGGCAAGTCCTTTTTTCTTTTTCTTCTTTTAATTTTGTTCAGCATTAAAGGAGGGAACTTCATAAACATTGATTGTCATTTACAGAAAACATTCAGAAATCATGTGTGCATTATCCGGGAATGCTAACAGTATTGAACTAATAATTTACAGGACATAAAATAAGGACAAAAACCTATTACATTCTAAAGTAATATAAAACTCTTTTTTAATTGTTAGGGAGTGCTGTTTTATTCTAGTATATTTATAATTAAAAAAACTCAATGCTTACTTCCTAAATGACTCAGGCTGCAGTTTTACTCACATACACAGAAATTAGGGCTTATATATTAAACAAGGAGAGAGAGATCAGAAAATTGTAGATTTTAAAACTATATATGTCACTGGGTTTATTTGTGATTTGCCTTTTGCCTCTACAGGCCAATAAGAATACATGGTAATAATGTAATTAAACTCCAGAAAAATCAATGGTGACTATAAGAGACATTATTGTTTTAAAAAAGTAGAATTATTATGCTTTTTAGAGTGAATATTTTTATTTTACATACTTGTGGCAACACAACTTTTATGCATTGCCAACAGTGGTGTGCATGCTAATGAGATGCAAACTGTACCCCTCCCATGCTGCCCCCCAGGCGCAGTAGGTTAATGGGCACAGCCAAGCCCCAGGCAGCCCAAGGTTTCACAGGACTTAGAGTCGCTCTTGACTTTACAAGTGTAGGCTGGAGCTGAGGTGAAAACATTAAATCTCTGAACGTTGGAAGTATATGAAAATCATTTCTCTCAATCCTAAAAGCAAGGAAGCATTGTCAGGGATTTCAAAAATATTGGAATGTCTCATTTAAATCTAAATATCGTTTTATTATTATAAATCGATCATCATAAAATACTAGCCTTTTAAAGTCATATTTGGGATGCAGGAAAAGCATCAGTTTCAACAACTTGCTCCTGCCTGTGTTGCTATAGCTCATGACACCTTGAATTTTCCTCCCTCTCAGTCTCTCCCCAACCCTCCCCCAGGTTCTTTACAACATTTATTTGGTGAAGGTCAGTTATGGCTTCAGCAAATGTGTGGTCTGACCTCAGGTTATTAATAAGAAATAAATGTGTACAAAAATATTTTGTTCATCAGAAAGCGGAGTTTGTTTTCTTTAAGCTATTCCATGCAGAAAGGATTTGGACAAAGCCATTTGCTACAAGGAAAGATGACTTAACTCAGGCAACTTTTTCTTTTTTTTAAATTTTCCTTTTTCATATTGTCTAGTTAGAGATGGAGTTTGCAGGTCTTAGGCCAATCTTCAATACAAACTTTTTGGAGCAGATTTAATTGACAGCCCTGTCCCTTTCTCAGTCATATTACAAAAAGAAGCATACACTTAACACCAATGACCCGTCAAGATGCTTAAACTGTTACAACCAGTTTCCATTAAAAAACTGAGAAGTACGTAACACGCAGAAAGGAAGCAAGTACATATTTGCTCTTTGTTGATTTCCCCCTCTAAAAAAATTGTTACAAAGTCTTATGCTTAAACAGAGACATAGAAAAATCAGTGTACTCACTGTCTCCAGTTATTTACAGCAAAAATTACAGAGACAGCATACATTGTATTAGACCTTCCACAAGCATATATTAAAAGTAATTACATTTGAAAAAATATTTTTATTTTTCCTCTACATTTCTACAATACATACTCAGTTTTCTGTGGGTGTAATTTTTCTTTCTTGTGTGTGTGTTAATCAGATGAAGCAGACGGCACTGTGCTTGGATGTGGGATTTGTAGCTTTCCAGACATACCTAATGTGTGTCTACGGTATGGTTGTGACAGAGGCACGCGAATGCTTGCCACCAACCACCGCCAGAAGAGTATAGTTGAATACAAGGATCGTGCTGCCCAGCTGGGGTGCAGATGCCCCGTGCGGCCCTGAGCGGGGCTCATTCAATTCCGGTAACCCTTGTGCTTTATTTTTGGCCATGAGAACAATCACTGAGCTGCTTTCTCTGATCCACTGGAGGCCATGCTTATGGTCACGCAGGAGGCAAAGATTGCTATGGCCCATTCACATCGGAGGAATTTCAGCAGCTTAGGAAAAAAGTGCACAAATAGAAAACCCCCATCTGCTGCATAGGTCCATGGTCTGCACTTCCAAACAATGGAGGACTACATGATCACGACTATAGAATAGATTCTTCACATACGACGAAGGGAAAAGAAACACTTGTCACAGATATTGAAGTCACACAGTTAAAGAAACACGTCGAGACCCAAAAGAATCAAAGTCACGTATTTGCCTTTCAGAAAAAAGTGGCAAGAAATCTAGCCCCCTGGCTCTATGAAGAAGGGAGTGTGGGCAAGACAAGTTGAAGTGCCTTTTAGAAGCCATCACTAAATTGAATTGTTTTCATTTTTAGACTGTTGGCTATTTTGTAAACTGACCTCCTGTTATATCCTCTAGTTGTGACAATCACATACGAAAACAAAATAGGTATCAGAAGGGGAAGATCTCCATCCCCTCCTTCCAAAACTAATATCGTTCTAATATCGCCCAGGGTTGAATCTGGCCGGACTTGCTGCCATTGAGCTGGTCCCAGATGCGATGTTGCTTTAAACCAGAGGCTGCAAGCTGACCATTTACGGGCCCTCTTCTGCTCAGTGATGTATTTGTTTGGTCTGCACTAAGCTCTGAATCAACTGCCATTATGTATAATTTCAGAGACTTTATAAAATTCGGAAGCTCTAGCAGCATTCAGCTTCAGCTAAATCGTGGATGTCCCTTTTTCCACAGGGCATTTCCTGGCCAGCTTGTCACTGGGCTGCTTCACCCATTTGCATTAAGCCCCCCGGCCCTTTTAGGCTTTCGAATTTTCAGCCCCTGCTTTAAATGGTAAACTACCCTCTACCCTGTACCCTCTGGTCCTGAGAGCCAAAAATGAATAGAGTGTCAGCTTTTTTTTTTTGAAAGACCCCCATAGTTTCCCACATCAGGTCTTTACTCTAGTTGCTGCTTATACTGGCAGTTGGAAACAGAACATGGAATAGCACTTCGTCTAAAGCAGATGGTAGGCTTTCCCCTCTTCTTCATGCAGGGGACTTTGTGCAGAGTTTCACTACAGAAGCACACTTTAAAATTATTGCTGTTCTGTTGGACGGTGCTTCTGTCAGGGCACAGACATCCATGGCCTGAAATGACTGTCAATTGTAGCAGCTTCCTTGGAAATAAAAGTTTATAGAAAAAAAAAAAAAAGAGTCAGGAAGAAATTATTTCTTCTAATTTCCAATAGAAGTAGACTTTTTCCTTGCTTCTATAATGAACAGAAACAAAGAACATAGAACAACACTGCCATTATTTGCATCTGATTGCTGTTTTTGAAAAAAGCTGGTAGGTTTTAGGTTGTCCTTGGGACCCAAGACTTGTTTTTTGCCTTCAAGCCTGGGACACATTGCATTGTAGAGAGTGAGCATGAGTTGATCTCTGTGGTTTTCTACAAACAGTTTAACTTGACTGCTGTGAAGTTACGCTTTGAACAAGGCAGCTACGATAGGAAATGTACTGACACCTCCCTGGGACCTCTTGTTAATATGCAGAGTTTATGATGATTTAAGATCTCTTAGAATCTACCAAAGAAATCTAATCACTCAGGAGATCGTTATAGTCTCTGATTTTACCTACTCCGAGGTACTTTAGTCCAGAGCCCTGAACGCAGTGCTAAAACAAGGGAAATTCAGAAAGGGTATGTTTGTGGAGAACGTCTCCACCTTCAGCTTTCAGTCTTTGGGGGATAAAAGAGCCACCGAAGGCAGGGCGGGGTGGCTCATGCCTGTAATCCTAGCACTTTGGGAGGCCAAGGTGGGTGGATCACTTGAGGTCAGGAGTTCAAGATCAGCCTGGCCAACATGGTGAAACCCCATCTCTACTAAAAATACAAAAATTAGCCGGGTGTAGGGGCACGTGCCTGTAATCCCAGTTATTCGGAAGGCTGAAGCAGGAGAATCACTTGAACCCAGGAGGCAGAGGTTGCAGTGAGCCGAGATCTCATGCCACTGCACTGCAGCCTGAGCAACATGTTGAACAAGATCTGTCTCAAAACAGAAAAGGAGCCACAGAACAAGGGGCACAAAGATTAGCTGAGTCACGGACAGTACGGGTATATGCGGGTGTCAACCCAGATTTGGAATCCTTTCCTGTTCTATTTTCCCTCCAAAATTTCCCTTTCTTTTTATGGACCACAAATACACTGAAGTTTGAATTCACCCAGTTTCACCTCCCTTGTCCATTTTATCTAATGCCAGTTAGATTTCTGTAATTTCCTTGTTCAGGATTTGTACAGAAAAGTTTGGATTTGCAGGGAGATAAAAATTCCTCTGAATGGGACAGCTAGATTATTTGGCTCTTAGCGGAGTTTAGAAAATGAGACCAAGTTGTCCTTACTTGGGTGCAACTTTTCAGCAAGTCCAAATAATTCAGTCCAGTTTGTGACATGAAGTTACTGCTTGTTGGCCTGAAAGCCTTGTCAGAGAGGTGCTCTCAGCGGCATAGTTAATGTATGCCATTCACGTTTTGTTGTCATTTTCCCGTTTTTAATTTTTTCCTCCTTCTTGATGTATTTTTTTTTTTTTAATGAAACATCCCTGAGTGGACACAGTGCAACATCTGCATCGAGCAGTGATTGTCATTTATGAAGCACGAAGTGAGAAGCCCAGATTGTGGATTTTTTTCTTCCAGTGCACACTTGATCATGAGTGTTGTGAACATTTGTTAGTCCTCATGGGGAAGGAACAAAGTTCTGGGATTGTAGGTACAAAATACCTTGACATACAGTCATAGGAGATCTTCAAAGGGCAGCTTTTTAAGGCTTTTTACCATTGAAAACATGACTGGATTCTCTTTTAAGGGAAGGTTGGGCAACTGTAACCCAAACTAGAAATCTCTTCTCTCAACTAAGTGGGCTGAGTACGTCCTGGTTGCCATTGTTTTGTTCTGGTTCAGATGCTAGCTCTGTTTCCTTCCTCCCAGCTTCAAAAGGTCCATGCTGTCCCAATGAAATGCTTACACTAGTGGAAACAACACAAATTCAAAAGCAGTACCTCCCAAGGTAAATGTGAGGAACAATCTTTTTCCTATATCACCCATGGGAAAAGGGAGGAAAAAATTCTGAGCCACTTCATCAATTGAGCCAATTTAAATCCTCTAAGGTAAATTGGAGGAAATAAATAATTCCCTCTGCAACTGAGCAGGAATTACAGGCTGACAATGGAAAACACCAGGCCAACAGAACAATGAAAACAAAGTTTGACATAAGTTCAAAGCTCAAAGGGAAACACCAAGTAGACACATGAAGCATCGCCTATCACAAGCCAATCATAAAACATACATTGCATTTGGAAATGGCTTGGTTTAATTGAGTGCCTTCCATTACCCTGTTTTCCTAGCAATCAGTAGAGTAATCTTTCCATTAGAAGGAAATATGACTCTGGGAATTAATTCTTTATACAAAGAGCTAGCAGGAGTGACATTTACACCAAAAAGAATTGAGTCCCTGTAGCAGCATAATAAGCAGTCTACAGCTGTCTTCTTAGAACCAAAGGTAATTTGGTTCAATGTAGTTAAATTAATTGAATATAACAGTAGTTGAGAAACAGATTCATTATTTTAAAGCCTTTTTGTTTTTCCCCATTGGTTTAGAATTCATCAATCATGAGGTGAGAAAATGTTCCGTTTTCTAAAAGGAAAAGGCGACACTACTGTTTTGATCATCAGTCAAGAGTTCTGTGGTATCTTGGAGATGCTGCTCAACCATGAACTTCAGGAGAGCACAGAGATTAAAAAAAATAATAATCAAAGTTTCCACTGATGGAAACTTTACAAAGCAGGTGTGTGTGTGTGTTTAGCAAGGAGAAAAGGGCAGTTCTTTAGGAGTTGGTGGCTGGGATATGCTTACAGGAGACCATAATTGTCATTGTCTTATACACAAACTTCTCTCCTAGTTTTTTTTTTTTTTTTTAAAGTTTTATTTTGAATCAGAAAATACCAAAGGTATAGGTCTCCAGGACACAGGCAGAACAAATTTCTTGGAATATATGCTTTTCTTATGATTAATTTCATTGGTGAACAGGTGGAGAAGTGAGAATTTGTACAAGGAAGTCTAAAATCTCTGATCCCAATGTCATCCTTGTATTCTTTACTTCTAAAAATTGCTAAAAAAAAATTCTAGGGTAAATGGATGATATAATTGTAAACTGCACAGGAATTAGTTTTGCCTTTGGGGTACATTAGATCTCCAGAATAACACAGATCTTTTTTTTCTAATCTGTCGAGTTTTTGCTACATTTTTCTATTATAGCATTTTATAATATGCCTCCTCCTTTATTGCCACTTTCCCTAATAAAGGTATTAAAGAGAAGGAATATAAAGATTACTTCTTTACTTTAGGTCTTCTCTTTCTATCTTTTCTTCCCAAAACATGGTGAGAGAGAAAATGTTTACATGAAATGGCATTGTTGCCCTGGGTTCTGATTTATTCTTTTAATGTTTCTAGAAAAAATTGCTGGTAGTCATAATCCATGGATTGTAGTTTTCAGTTGAAGACACAATAAGCACTGAAATTAAGCTTCCTTCACAACTGGAAATCCAAAAGAAAAAAGTGTTTTTATGTGTTCTGGTGAAAAATAGAAAATACCTACTGTTTGGTCAAAAAAGTCTTGGACCTTGCAATATTATCTGTGGCCTAATTCTTGAAACAGGAAAATGGCTCCAAATACTGCCCCCTTCCCAATATGTACCATCTTGACAAGGCTTTGATGTCACTGACAGAAATAGAGTTTGTATACAGAGGCCACACATTATGTTTATTCCTTTGTAGACTTATTTCTGAGTTCGTACCGTCCTGCCATTGACTAAAGATGAAAACTCTGGCTGGGAAAACAAAATCCTGATTGTCTAACGTAAAGGTAACATATAACACAGAAGGTAAATCATAGAAGAGAGCCTGACTGAACCTCCATTGCTAGTAGGTATGGTATTTAAGCCACAGTGCATGTGCATGTATAAGTAATAGTCATATATAATATTCTCACATATTATATACTTATTACATACATGCACAGTACTTTCCAAGACAGCTACAAATTTACACATGCATCAACTACCTAAAAACATAGAAATAGGTAAGCCTATTTAGTGGAATTTTCTTAAATTATATTTGAACAATCAACAGGAAAAGTAATCATGTAAAGTACCGCTCTTTTCTTGTATATATCTACAATAAAATTCTATAAACAGTTGTCTCCCAAAACATACCCGAATAAAATTAAAAAAAGGATAACACCCAGTGTCCTATATTTGTATATTTATGGTCATTTCAAAAACAAACAAACAAATAAAAGAGCCCCACTCAGGTGCATATTTACATTCTTCAAACTGTAGCGGTGAAAAATAATTCTATTAAGTGCAGGACATTCCTAATGTTGCAGTAGTGACATTTTTCTTAAGTCTTCATGAACACATTGCTTTTGTCTTAATGGTGATGCATTCCATGACTATGAGACAGTTCTCTTGTCCCCTTCATTTGCAGCCGGTGGCACAGTCAGGATTAAAGAGCTCCTTGTATAACGGAGGAAACAGTGTATTCACTATCTCTGGATGAGATTGCTTAAATACCTGCAGCTTCTCCCCGTGCAAGTTGCAAACTGCCGTGATGGTTGGTATCTTGGCTATTAACTGCAGAACGGAGAGACAGAGAGGGAGATAGAGAGGGAAGCTCATTAGTGGAATCAGTGTCCTTTCTGGCCCCAGATGAAGGTAAACGGCTTTGGAAAAAGATGTTCAGAAAGAAAGAAGGCTCACTTTCAGCTTTTTCTCTTAGAACAAAACAAAATAAAATGTACTCCCTGCCCCTCGCCACTCCATCTCCTAAAGGAAAAATAAAGAGTAAGGAAGCAAGCAAGAAAACAGGACCAAGATCCCTGATTCATTGCTCTTAGATAAGTATTTATGAGAGGTTTTCTAGTTTAATAGTTTTCCAGTTTAATAGTTACAAGTGGGTGCTCTGTAGGCAGGCTACCTGAGTTCCAAAAGAGCTTAGTAATGGCGTAGCTGTCACTTTGTCTGTGTCTCAGTTTTCTCATTCATAAAATGGGCTTACTAACAGTACCTACTTCATTGGGTTGTTGTGTGGACTGAGGGAGGTAATTCCTATAAAAGTGTTAAGAACACTGGAGATGTGAAGTGTAATTGTTAGTGAACACTATTATCACCCGTAATTTCCCATAGATTTTCGCGACATGAATTTGTAGCTTTGGAAGATGATAATATTTAGGGATATACAACCAAACTGTATGAGGTGTAATCTATAATAATCTGGACTGCTTGGCTATCAAGCTCACTAGCCCACTTGTATAGTGGCTCTCTAATCCATTTCCACTGTAATGCATAATATGAAACACATGGAGAATTTGGGAGGTCACTGGCACTCAGCTTCCTTAGGAAGGTGTTCTAAAAATGAGTGGAAGGATATCCACTTATACTTGTTAGGTTTTGATATATGTATCATGTAAGATGTAATTTTTTGGGGTTAAGATACCCAGAAGACAGTGTTTAATAATAATTTAAATGCTGTGTGGGTCTTAGGAGATGAACAATTCCAGCTTTTAACACACTTATGGCATAGGAACACTTCGAATCCATCACTTTCGTGTCAAAATTAGCTTAAACAAAAGTCACTGTGATTAAATTATTGTGAGAGAAATGTTCTTGTGTAGAGAACACTCTTATAAAAGGTAAGCATGATAGCTCATATAGCTGACTAAAGACACACTCGACAGTGATGAAAAATACAATTAAACAAAACCTATTCTCGTCACCAGTTAGGCTCATCATCATATTCCCTACCCTGTTCAATAACAAGAATCCATTTCAGCCTTTGAAATAAAAGAGGAAATAGATAATTAGTTGCCTTGTGGTTTTTAAAAATCAGTAACTTCCACTCTTTCATTAACTTTCCTTTTAACAATTAATGACTATATAACCATACTAGGAGCAATTTAAAAACAGCATCAGGATGAGGGCTGTTGGCTCATTCAGTAAAGGGATCTAGAACATGTAAAGAAGTTTAGAGTTCAGACTTTCCAATCTTGACCATCTCCACTGCTATTTAAAGACGGGGATAGACATGAAAAATGAGGAATCTTTGTCAGTAGAATGGATGCTAAATTTTAGACTGAGAATCAAAACTTTATCTCCAACATTATGAATTTTTTCTTCATTCTTGATACACCACAAGGAATTGCATGCCTAATAGGTAGCAGGCACCTTGGCTAAACACTAGAATGCACAAAACACTATGACTCTTGTTTCCAGTCTACTTGATGAGACTGATGAAATAAGTTTACCACACAGTCAAAAGCAGACTGAAAAACTGCGGTGAGTGCCAAGGAAGAATAGCGGGAGGAAGAGTGGGATGGAAGAAGGTGCTCTGACTTGTGGCAGGCCCGGGAAGGCTGCTCTGAGAAAGTGACATTGAAGCTGAGCTCTGATGGAAGAGTGAGAGAGCTAATTAGGAACTGGGGCAGAGGGTACATACATAACATGCCCTAGGATCACGCGCAAAGATGCTGTAGCACTTGGCACTCTGGAAGAACCGAAGGCAGTTCAGGGTCGCTGGAGCAGTGGGTGAGGTAATGCCAGAGAGGTGTGCATGGCCAGATTATGTAAGCCCTCATAGTTCACGTTATGTTCTCTGAGAGGGTTTTAAGCAAAAAAGAAAGATGATTCAGAGTCCCATTCTGAAAGGCTCACTTTGGGTCCAGGGTGGAAAACTGTGTCTTTTCTATATTTTCATAGGTACACAGTGTTCAAGTGTCCACTTAACTAGAGTCGCTTGGGAAATTATTCAAACTCTCTTAACCAGCTGGCTCACACAGAAGGAGACTACAAGAATTTAGGAACAGTTCTTGTACATTGTAATTCTCCCTGAAATAGCTGTTGAATGCAGAGTGGCTTTGAACGCTTTCTACAATCATCTGCAGTTGAATTGATGATGTGCAGAGCTCCTGAAACTTCCAGACGCAACTCTATAATTATTGTCAATCTTGTCAATAAGAGTGACTGAGGAGTTCTTAAAAATGCAGATTACTGGGACCTACTCCTGGAGGATTCAGTTGCAGTGAGTTTGGGTGAAGCTCAGACTCCATGTTTGGAACCAACATTCCCTGCAGACACCGATGCAGTGGGTTCATGGGATCGACTTTGAAAAACACGGCTTCCGGGGTTCAAATTTTATAAATTTACAACTGGTTTTCAAAATTGAAAAGTTGAGCCAGGCACAGTGGCCCAGTTCTGTAATCCCAACTACTCAGGAGGCAGGAGCAAGAAGATAGCTTGAAGCTGGGAGTTCGAGACCAACCTGGCCAACATAGCAAGACTTTGTACCTTAAAAAATTTTTAAAAAGTAAATTATACATTGAATTTGAAACAGTCCTATGAACTATGTGTAGAATTAGCTGGTTTTCCAGGAGGCAGACATGGAAGTTCTCACATGTAGAGAGGGAAGGTTCCATGTGCTTAGAGCTATTAGTTTGGTGGGGGTCAAGTAATGAAATTCCTGAGTTCCCTGTGATACACAAATACTACATAGAGAGGATTAGTCTGTTGATAAAGAACATGGGCTTTGGAGTTGGGCTGCCTGGGTTTGAATCCTATTTCTGTCCTTTACAGCTATGTGATCTCGGGCAAGTCACTTAACCTCTCAGCTTTCTTATCCATCAGATGGCGATTATAACAGTCCCTGCCTCAGAGGGAGTTTGTGAGGATTAAGTGAGTCAACAAAAATTTTTTTATAGTGGTTCCTGACACACAGTGGTGATCTGTGTGGTAGCTGTCATGCTTCCACTCCCACAGTCTGAGATATCTCTCTTCCTTTCAGGAGAGGAAGAGTCAAGGCCATGCTTTTCAGTCAAAGGACATGGAGGGCAGGAAGCCAGCTTAGCTCTGAACCAAACTCCAAAAGTGGAGTCATTAACCAAAAGTTAATGCATGGCAAAGTCAGCCATTGACGTTTATTGAAATGAAAAAGCAAAATCATATTGATTTTTCATTCTCTTATAGCAATTCAAGTAAGTTGCTTATTTTACTAACTGTGACTCACAATGTAGAATCCTATGTATAACAATTCTTGAAGCATTTTTTGGCTCCTTTAGTGACAGGGTGGTGTGGGACATGAAATGTATAAGAGGATGACTGAAACCCTTTTATAGTTGCTCATTTGCCCTGGAAATATTGAATTACGTGTCTGGTTTTGGGATGTTAATATGGACTCTTCCTCCTTTCCTGAAAGACGACTGGGATTTAAGAGTCTGGTTCAGGACCCAGTTCTGCCTTCTTTTATGCAATTTGGATCTAGTTCCTGTTGCTCATCTGTAGAATGGGCCGGATGGTGGGAATTGCTTTCTGTTAAAGAGCACCCAGACCGCTTCAGCAAACAGCACCGAGAAGGCAAAGAGCTCTCCCAGCGTCCGTGCTCTCGGAATAGGCTGACTGCAAGGCACCCAGTCGGCTGTGGAAACAGAAGTGCCGACAGGGGCATCCATCGCTCTGAGGCATGGTGGGCCAGGAGGCCATGCGGAGGCGGCAGCAGCACTTGTCAGAGCCCAGAAGAGGCTGGTGTAGAGAGCAGCAGGCAATCACTTACTGCTCATTAATATTATGCACTGCAGCCAGGGGACCCCCATTTCAAAGGGAGCTCAGAGCAGCCTCCACAGCAGTTAATAGCTCAACAACTTTTTAAACAGCTGGGGAAGTGATCCAGAAGCACTTGGAGATGGAGGGGGTAGTCAATTTTAAATCATCGTGAAATTCCTTCATGTTTAAATAATCCCCGTAGCAGAAGTAGACAGAGGGTCTATCAAAAGGCATTTTCACACCCATCTCTTTCTTATGACAAGCATTTCTTATGAGAAGGGAGCTTTAGCTTCTACCTACAGGGGTCTACAAGAAGAAAAAGCAGCTGTTTGAGAAGAGATAATAATCCTATGCTTCTCTCCAGAGGGCGGTTTTATGAGAAAATTCACAATTTTATAACTGGTACATTTGATGTTAGAAAAATGGAACATGCAGAGGGTAAAACTAGTGATCTTGTTCATGCGGGCTTCCAGGCCACCAAGTGCCCTCCAACCTAAACCAGGAAGCCAGCAATGGTTTGATCAAATTGGAAGAAGCTTCAGGAGCACTAATGAAAACAGGACACATAAAGTGAAGCTGAACACATCAATTTCACATGTCCATTTGATTTTCTTTTCTTTGTTTCTTTTTCTTTTTTGTTTTTGGTTTTTGTTGAGCCAAATCTAGTTGGATTCGAATTATAACATTAAACTTGAGATATCTTTCCAGGTCATAAGCCCTGCCCCCACCATCCTGACTCCATCCTTAGCATCTGTGTGGCAGTGCCTGTACTTTCTACCCTGGGCATGGCTGACCAAAGTGGAAGTGGACAGTTGACTCAGCTGGGGCTGGAATAGGAAATCAGACTGAGAGTCAGCAAGCTGCTGTCTAATTGTAGCAGAAACTACCCGTAACCTAAGGAGCAAAGAACTAGCCATATTTCATCACGTGAACCAGGGAGGCACAGAAAACTGGTACTCAGAGAGGGAGAAGAATGAAGTAGATACCTATGGAGAGATAAGTGTGTAAGATGAATAATTTGGAAGGCTTCCCAATTCATCATT